CTGCCGCAACCAGTCCCCGAGCTTCTCTTCAATCACCTCAGCTAGTTGACGGGCCAGTGGGGCAGACCTTCCAAACCCGATACCCATACTAGTTTGATGGGTTTGCTCCCTTGTATGGACGGTGAGTCATTTGTTGGTACTTTCAACGTAGTTCCTCATTTTTGATCAAGAGGGGGCTAGTAAATCAATATTCCTTTGTTGAGGACGCTTTCCCTTTTTTTCGAGTATTCACCATGGTCACTGTTCTTTGAAAAATCTAGTCGTTTTTCACAGACGGTGCCAAATTGTGCACGCAAATTTTTGCACAATAAAAGAATCATGAATAAATCTCTCCTGTGATGAACTCAGATACGGTGGTGATGGATTCGACAACAAGGAATGAGTTGAGACGACCAAAGGGGGCCTAAGGATTGGTGATGAATTATTCCAGGGGGTTCCTAATCGATTCTGATGGGTTGCAAGATAGTCCTGGCATACAAGTAAACAAGTTAGAAGGGTGCCGAAGTGTTTTTAGGCATATCCTCTCCGACGATCAAGTCAATTCTTTGAGAGAGGGAAAGAAGAAAACACTATTATGGCTTTTGAGAGGTGATTTTACGTACCTTTGTAATGTGTTTTTTAGGACTATTTATACCTTCCAAGTCTCATCATTGCCGACAGTCTAGGCAATAGGTAGCCTTCAGAGATGCGGCAGTGTGCCCCCTACTTTTCATGGGGAATGTCCCAGGCTAAGCACTTAATGCTCTTTCTTCAATGTAGAGACATTAAATGCTTGGATTCCTGAGCATTTAATACTTTTACATCTCGACTTATCAAGTCATGATAGACGACTGATGATATATTAAATGTCAGTCTCTATTAGCCGTATATCAGCATGGGTAGTCCTGTCTTTTTACCCCTTACCCTGTACCTTACGCCACGTGTCTAATTCCCTCTGGTTGAGTGTCCAATTCAATATGTCACTCCGACTAGATTATGCAGAGTGTCCTCACAGTCCCTAGTCTTGCTTAGGCAACTTAGCTGTCAGTCACTAGTCTCCTCAGAAGCCGAGGATCCATGGCGAGGTTGAAGAGAGTACCCTCGAGGCCGAGGGGACACGTCTTGGAGCCGAGGAACATGTATTAGAGTCGAGTCGAGACTGAGGGGACACATCTTAGAGCCGAGAGACATGTATTGGAGCCGAGTTTAAGCAGGGTTTCTTTGGGGGCGAGGACACGTGTCGTTGATTTAAGACCCTTCTAGAAATGTCTCATCAATATACGAACAAAACAGTTACATAATAAATTTATAATTTAAACAATAGATAAATTGATCTATTTACAGAACATGAACTGTTATTGAACTTTAAGTAAATCGAGATTAGTGTTTGACAGTATATTCTTAAGATAGATTTTACCCTCACACACTGTGTTTATGAAAATCAAAGACTCTGCCTCCCAGGATATAATAATCTTCACATGAATAAAAGTAACACTACAATATACTGGTCCAATGAATCAGAAATTATGTTGTGTACTCTCCAAATGCAGGTTGTTTTAATGCCGAAATGAAATGTACTAATGTCTGTCTTAACTCCAAACAAATGATCAATGCAAAATAATAATGAACCTAGGTTTATAAAAACAAACTAGTGACTATTTTGGACAGCCACCGTGTGAAAAGAGACAACACAAAAGAACCATGCAATCATAAGACACTATTCAATATATGTTCACTCTTGAACAAATACAATTTAAATTTGGAATGGGAAAGAACAATAATCCAAACTAGTGCGAATTTGAAATCCATCAGGTACAGAAATTAAATTTTGGATTAAGAAATTCACACTCAATTCGTTAAACAAATTTTCTCTAAAAATATAGAGTTTGATCTAACCCACACCAGTGCCCCGGTCTTTTCGGGTCGTGGCGAAGCGGGCGACGCGTGTGTATGGTTAAACTAATGGCATGTAGGCACTCGTTCTGCTCATAAAATTGTGATACCCCTTGGGGGCCAATCTCATAGAGCAAACTTAACATATATATGCATATGTATAACTTATTCTTCAACCAATGTGAAATTAATATCAAATCTCACATTGCACAACCTCTATTTTCACATTCCAAAATGGTCACTTTTTTAGCCTATTTTCCCATTTATTTCTTAATCGATTCGAACAAACAAATATATTGCGTTATTCTTCTTACAGGGTAGAACACGAATCACAAAAGTTTACTCAAAACAACGAAATGGTCCCACTTTAACTTAAACTCAAAATCGACCAAAAATTCATTTTTTATATTTAAAAAATTGTTTTAACCCAACAAAACATACTCTTCAACATCCAGAGCATGAGATCTTAACTTCTGTCCCAATGTAGGCACGGGATCTTAACTTCAGCCCTAGACATAAGTGCAATAGAATTCTCTACTAATAATTATATAGTGCTGAGAAACAATTATTTCTTATGAGTATATGAAATGGTCTATCAGTATATTTATTTTTTATATACCCAAAAAAACACTTAATAAATTTGATGTATTTTTAAAAAAAAATTAAAAATTTCAATATTAATCACCGAAACCCAGCAATTCGAACTACCCTAATAAATTTTGTTGACATTTATCAATATTTTTCCTCGAGCTATTAGAAGACCAAAAACAGTCCAACATGATAGATTTGCACAAAGGCTTCCCAAATTGAATTGGCATATTCCATGTTATCATTAATCCAAATATAAAATCGGTAACATTAATAAAATATAAATATAAAGAATAATATTATTTAAACTTAATTTGTTGACATATTTATTCTTAATAATAAAATTAACAGTGCAATCTCATATTAGGTGGGACTTGCTTCCAATATAATAATTATGATAGATTAAATCAATTAATTATATCAATAATTTATGTTTAAATAATATCAAAATAAAATTAAAAAAACAACTATACCATTCACCAAAATTTGTGGCATGATGTGGCAATTTCCCCCCAACATATAAGGGGGGCCAATAATACTTTCTGTTGTATTATTTGGGTTACAAATGTGATCCGCAAATTTGATCATTTTAGTATTTCTTTTAAAAATTAAAGTGAGCATATAAGTGAATTTTTTTTTTCATAAATGAATAGTACAACATATTAATCTATTTATGGTATAAAAAAAAATTGGTATTGTAGTAACATTTATCACATTTGTAGGGATTTTTATTACTGTTATGAGCATTTGTATCATTGTTGTGGTACCAAATAAAAATAGTAAAAATAATTATCATAATTATGGGTATTAAACATGTCGAATTTGATCATTTCATGTCAGCTTGATTTTGAGTTTATGTCGAAAATTTCAAAACACAAACCTGACATGTTTAATAATTGCGTCGATACATGTAAACTCTAACCTGACCTGACCATTAAACAGGTTACCTGAATCCAACCTGTTTGACATATCTAATAAACTCCTCGTTTTCGAGTTAACACACATAATATGACATGTTTAACATACATAACATGACCTATTTAACACACAATCTATTTTGACACTTGTTCATTACCATTAAATATATCATTCACTCATTCATCTAAATTTCAAATAATTTTTTCACCAATAACATATCACATCTTATCAACGAAATTAACTAAAATGCATTCAAGTTTCAACTCAAAAATTAAAACAAGAACTATGATAGTATACTGTCATAAAAAATTTAAAAATTATATTATCGATTATCATAATAGAAGTAAGAACTAATAAGTAATAATGTTAAAATCACATCAGTCACACATAATAGATAAATTATATTGTCAAAAACAAATTAAAGGGGTCTACAATAGGTTAGGTCGAGTTTGTAACCGAATCATGCCAACTCATTTAAAATATACAGATTAATTAGATCAAAATCTAATTGACTTAATTTTAACATAAATTCACATGATTTTTTTTTGTTTAAGCGTATTGACCCATTTTTACCTATTAATCCATTTAATTTTGTGTCTAACCTGTTAATTTCGTGATCAGTTCATGTCGTGTCAAAAATTGATAGTCTTAATCACAACAGTGATAAAAATACTCATAAATATGATATATTATTAACAAAGTTGATTTTTTTTGTATTGAAAAAAAAATACAAATAGTTACTACAATGATAAAAATATCTATAAAAATAATAAATTTTATAAATAGGATATTTATTTCTGTACGGTAGAAAGTCCACGACATATAAAGCCAATAGTCAAATCACAAATTAAAATAAAATACGTTTAAATTTGAATTATTATTTTTCTTTTATGGGTACCCGCTTGGTGCCATCCATGCCAACCAGTCGCCAAACGCCAACTGTGACGGCAAAAACAGATTCTGTGCAGCGAACAGAACTCTGCCGGCCGAGTAAATATTGAATGAAACGGTAATATCAAGTCACTGTTGAGGATTTAGTACAACTAATTAATAATAAAATTTTTAATAAAAATAATGAACCTCATTTGAGTTTACATGACAAAAAAGTGACGAAGAGCTATTTACTCACGCGATAAATTAGTTATTAATTTTTTAAAATCTATTTATTTATTTATTTTAATATTATTGATCGACATTATCACTTTATTTTATCACGTAAGGTAACTATTATAATAAATATTTTCTCTTGTCGACCCAACTAATTATTCTGAAACCCCACAAAAAGCAACCAAATTATTCGTAGAATGACCCGTCAGTTTAGCGACCGTTACGAAAACAGCCACCTCACACAGCTAGACTTCCCGTCTGTCTGTATCGTAGGAAAACCAAGTTCTGTCCATTTGTGTGTGTTTTTCTTTTTAAGGATTTTCGTACTAGACATCCGGAAAAATTCTAAAATTTTTATTTTATATTTTTAAAAATTAAAATTTTTTATATAAATTTTTAATATTTTTGATATATTATAATGTAATCCTTCAATTGATTATTAATATTTTTTTTCCTCAAAAACTAACGCTTTGATACTGTCCAAAATAATAACGAAATACTAACATTAAGGATACAATACACATATGTTACCTCACCCGAAGGCATATGTTAGCACAATATCCGCGATTGCACTAGCCTACACAACGAAGTCTCTACCAGTCCGGCCACCTCGCCGGAATTCCCACCGACGCCGAACCATATCGATAAAACTGCAACATATATACTTTGAAGAGAGAGAGAGAAAGAATAGCAGTAGCAGAACGATTTCAGAGGTGAGATGGGGGTTGATTACTACTACATCTTGAAAGTGAGTCGCGATGCAAGCGAAGAGGAGTTGAAGAAAGCCTATAAGAGGTTAGCAATGAAATGGCATCCAGATAAGAATAGTACTAACAAGAAGGAAGCGGAATCCAAGTTCAAGCAAATCTCCGAGGCCTACGATGTGCTAAGTGACCCTAAGAAGCGTCAGATCTACAATTTGTACGGCGAGGAAGCGTTGAAATCCGGTCAATTCACCCCGACCTCTGCAAATGGTGGTGGTTACAGTGCTCGTGATGTGGATGATATTTTTGCGGAGTTTTTTGGTGGATCTGACGGTGTTAATGGTGGTCGTCGGAGTTCAAGTTTCGGTGATAGAGGAAAGGCGGCGGCGGTGGAAATTAAGTTGCCTTGTAGCTTGGAGGAGCTTTATAAGGGTTCTAAAAGGAAAATGAATATCTCAAGAACTATTCTCGATGACTCTGGGTACGTAAATACGTCCTCAATTTTTGGTACATAAACTAAACTTTATTTGTGTTTACATGTTCAATTTCTGCATATATGATCGCATATGTGTTAATTTTGGGTGTAATAGTTTTATTGTTGATTGTAAGTTGAATAATTGTGCTTGTTCTTGTGGAGATGTGATTTAAACGTTCCTTGATTCTGCGTTTGGTCATGTCGTGTGGAATCCATGCCTTGGAATAAGAACTGGAGGAGAAAAAGTAGTATGAACTTTGAACTGATGGGGTTTCTGATCCAAATTTCGGGGCATGGATTCCATATCTAACAAACTGTGCGACGATCATTTACCGCCTATTTCTTGATCATGTTTATTGGAGCTGGGTGTAGTTGGTATCTTAAATTAATACCAAATTTGTGAGGAGCTAAACTTTTAGTTGTGTTAGAGCAACTCCAATCCGGCACTCTAAAATGGCTATCTAAAATGTATTTAAATAGTGCATTCTCTACTTTAACTAATTATTTTTACAAGTTCACTCCAATCATACTCTCTATTTTAGCTAATAATTTTAACTAACTTTCAATAAAATATTTCAAAAATGCCACGTAGTTGAACACGTCCGTATCAAAATTTCAAAGTTTGAATTTTGCAACATTCATATTTTTAACGGTATATTTTTGAAAATGTATAAATAAGACCTTCACCTCTCATTGTCGTATACCTCAATTTAAACTATAGCTATGACAAAAACCAAATAATCAATTTAAACCATAGCTAGAACAAAAACCAAATAATCAATTTAAACCATGGCTATGATAAAAACCATATAATCAATTCGCAATTAAATTTTGATCTAGATCACTTAAGATTTTATCTACAATAATCAAGAATCACCATCATAATTAAGCTTTAATTTTGAAGAGGTTGAAAAAATGATATAATAGTCGTTCTTGATAGCACAAATATATATTATGATATTGATACATCACTGTTCATTGAAAAAATAGAACAAAAACCCTTCTTGTTGTTCTTCTAGAATTTGGTCAACAAGGGAGGGAAAGGGAGGGTGAATTTGGGGGTGGGGAGAGAGATTTATAGTGGGTCAAGCTTGGATTTAGAGAGGGCCGACACAAACCAGAGCCCTGAAATGGTTGTGCACATTTGGGCACTAGGGTTTCGGCTCAAATTTGGGCACTAGGGTTTCAACTCAGATTTGGCAGATAGAGAGAGGGGGATCCATACCTGGGTGAAAGACGATGAAGACCACCTCTATGATGAAGATGATGAAGCCATTTCGGCGCAAAAGGACATATAGCGAGCAAAAGAGGGTCACAACTTATGGCGAGTGAAAATTGGATTTGGTAAAATAGCTAGTGGGATAGAGAGTGGGTTGGAGAGAAATTTTAGGGATTGGCTCTTCAAAATAGCTAAGAATGACCTTTTACCGAGTGAGTTGGAGATGTACTTAGTAGCAACAATTTAGACACTGCTTCTTGAGTTGTGATTATCCTTTCTTAATGGCTACATGATGGTATAAGATTTGTAATTGAGTAGCTAATGAAAGTACCTATCATAAAATTAGAAGAAACTGAAATGGAAAAAAAAAAAAAAAATTTGACAATGAATGAGCAAATTTTTGCGAAGTTTGATCTTGGTTGTCATCCATTATTGTTACAATTTTATACCAACGGAACCGTCCAAATGAATAACAGATCATGAATATATTTCTTTGTTGATGATAGTTGGTGTCTAGGCGGGTAATATCATTTTGCATCATAAGTCTGTACACACTTAAATTGCAAATTGTAGATCATTATCGATCCATACATGCAACAAGCCTAAGACAAATTGGATTATCGCATGGTTCTGGGGAGCATCAACATCCACTGGCATTTTGGGACTGTTGGATATTGGTTTAAATACAGAACACTCTGCAATTGGCATTATTTGGCAATTTGGTTACTCTTATTTGCTGATGTGTCTCATTGCCTGCATTCTTTTCTTTCATCATGATATGATTCCTACATTACTCTTGCAGGAAGCCTAACACTGTTGAGGAGGTGTTGGCAGTGCATATTAAACCTGGTTGGAAGAAGGGCACAAAAATTACTTTTCCTGATAAAGGCAACCAAGAACCTGGCATTGCCACTGGAGATCTTATTTTCGTCGTAGAAGAGAAACCGCATGCCATATTCAAGAGGGACAGGAATGATTTGGCCGTCACTCATAAAATTTCCTTATTGGAGGCTCTTACAGTGGAGACATTCAACCTGACGACCTTGGATGGAAGGGATCTTACAGTCCCGGTCACTGATATTGTCAAACCAGGCCATGAGGTGATACTTCCAAATGAAGGAATGCCCATCTCAAAGGAACAGGGGAAGAGCGGAAACTTGAGGATCAAATTTGATGTCAAATTCCCATCGAGACTTACTGCAGAACAAAAATCTGATCTAAAGAGGGTCCTTGGTGGATCTGCTGATTAGTCCAGGGATCGTCTCAATGGTTGAAGAACATCACTAACACGAACAGTGATAGTGCTCAATAAACATAATACATTATTTTCCCCATAATGGAGGTAAACTGTGCATATTAGGCAGATAGTTTGAAAGGTAGATGGCAACGTTTAGCGTTTTGTGCACCATGATAACAGCTATTTTAGATAGTTAGGTTCCACTTACTCTCGTATTTGCTGTGACTTTGAATGCCAGAATCTAGCTGTTCTTGGGTTTGAAGTGGCTAGATTCTTAACATTATGTTGTGTAGATTATAGAACGGCATGTGAGATTGTTTGCAGTTTTTTGTTCACTAGTCTCTGGGAGAGAGAATTCTAGATTTATCAAGTTTAAGCAATATACAATTTGAACCTATTGCCTCTACTTTGTCTGGTAGATTTAAATTTCTGTTTTAGAAGCTTGCGTTGCTTGACCTCTTCTTATTTAAAGCTCAGCCCTAAGCAAGCAAGGTGGCAAGACTAATGCGAGAATCTTTGAGAACAAAAGTCAAGAAGTTGAAAGATTATTGGACGGCTTGTATTTCTTAGTTTCCTTTTGGGCCTCGATGTCCAAGGAATATGAGAATATTTCTTTTTTTTTACTAGCATCGTGTGTAAGAAAGAATACACTGTATGAAGATGTCTAAGGCTATTGAGTCAAGCCCCCCCCCCCCCCCCCCCCCCCGGCAACAGTATGAACAGTCAAATTTCCATATAGCTCATTGTCACCGGAAGAGAAAATGGGAGGGCAGCTACTCGTGCATTCCGTAGCAGAGATGGCCTTAGTGAAGCTAAGCTGTGAACGATGGTGTCTCAATGGATGAGGGATTTGTTAAAAGTAGGTTCCCGTGGTGTCATAGATTGTAATAATCTATGACGCTTGAAATATTGCATAGGGCTTGTAAGCACAAGTTGGGAAATGCCAAAACACTTTTGTGAATGAAAAGCAAATCCATGACACTTACCTCAATGAGGCTTCTCCGTTTCATCGAACAAGAAAGGGATTCTGAATGGTTCATTTTGTAAACAGCAAACCACATTGAATCAATGTTTGAAGCAAAACTAAAAACCTTTTCATCACCCACCAGAAAGGCCAGTAACAGAGAACCCTATAGACACCTAGATGATTTATAAGGTCATGAACCTGCTATGGCATGGCTAGCTTGAACTGCATAGCCGTTGTTGTTGGAAGTATTTCCACCACCACCCCTGCCACTTCTTCCCCTACCGTTATAGGAGTTCCTCGGATAATAATTTCCAGGCTGGTCATAATACTGATTGCGACCATTCTGGTAGGCCCCACCTCCCCTGTTGCCACCTCGACCACCTCGGCCATTGGGATAACCCCTTCGGCCACCTGCACCACGACCACCTCTTTGATTCTGATATGACCTCCGAGGAACATACTCTTGCCCCTTTGGCTCTACTTCCGCTAAATTTTGTTCCACTCCTGCCTGTTGTATGACTGAATCTGTCTGATCTCGGACTTCTTCAGGATTTTCAACATCCAATTCATCCTGAAGAGCAAAAGGCAAACATCTCTTGTCAAACATATAAACAAAAAAGCAAGTACTAAACAAATTTGTGTGGAAGTACAAACAACACCTTGTGCGGTTCTTCCAGAGGACTAGATTGATCTTCGTAAGCTCCATTTCCATGAAAATTTGCTGCATCCTCTTCCTATAGAACGTATATATACAATTTAGGAAGTTAGCACAAAGGCAAGATGATGGTGTTGGAATGTATCATCCTTGATAAAAACATAACCAACTTAATTTCCACATTTGAGAAGATGAAAAGCTTATTACTAAAAATAAAATCATCTTCTGGAACCCCGCCAAAACTAAATCAAAAATGTTGAAATTTTTTTCACAAGTGTGCATCATTATAAAGCATTTAGTTCAACATTCTAATGCCTAAAGGCTGGGCACGAAAATAAAAACGAGAATAAACATCATTCCCTCGTTTTTTGGGACAGAACAATTCAACATATGAGTTACTGGCTTGAAGTATATAACTCATAACAGTATTATTGACTAAACATGACTATGAGGTGAGACCAACTTACAAGTGGTCATTATAATGGCAAATCAACACTTTTTTATGGGGATAAAGATTCACTGAAGAATGATGAAACACATATATGTAGACACATTGGTAAGTTCACAGGAGAATATTGATGAGCAGAAGAAAACAGGTGCTAGATAAGCAAAAACTCAGGCAATAAACATCCTGATGATGGATACAATTCTATTCAAAAATCACCTGGCAACCATGATGGCTATTAAAGGCTAATTCACTATTCCCACTATGTTGAAAAAGGTCGACGATTTGTAGTTGATAGATTCTTTTCTTTACTTTTGCTTCTTTTTTTTTTTTTCTTTTTGTGCTTGTCTGAGTGGATTTCTTATCCACCATTAATGTCCATTTGCATCTTTCTATGAAATATAAGATTTTTTTCTCCTATCAAAAAGTCAAAGCATATGTTACTTCCAAAGTTCCACAAATTAACCTTGTATACTCAAACTTGGCAGTCGTTGTCTCCTTGAACAATAAAGAAAATATAAACTGCCCTTGGTTAAATCCTGAATAGGTGAAGCATTTGTGTGTATACTTTCATATTGATTATAAATATATTTGCAGTGCATGTTCAGAAAAAAAAACCGACAAGTATGAGGATATGTTACACCTCCTCAGACTGCAGAATATCTCATGGAATTTGAAGGTTCAAGGACAAGTAGAACTAAGAAACTATTAATTTAGTTTCAGCAAATCTTTGACTTCGATACAAATTTAACAAGACACAGTAAAGATCGCATTAGTTGAAGCCGTGAAGAGGGAAAGTTTTCTGGGTTAATATCCATGGAATTTGGGGTGGCACCATTTCAAGGAAATCGATATCTTCCATTTGGCAATCAAGCAACGACAATTCAACCAAATCAGAAGAACAAGAAGTCAGATCATGCCACATCATCCTTGCCAAGATGCAAATGGACCAGCCAAACCCCCACCCCCCCCAAAAAAAAAAAAATTAAAAAGGAATAAAAATAAAACCGCCTTTTTTCATGTGGCCTGATTAAGTTACACAGATTACTCAATGGAGTCCTTATATAACAAGGAGCCCTTCTTGAGTGAAGATCCAAGTAAAACGTAAATAGAGTCTAACCCTAGCACTCCAATTACTGCACTCTTGCTTTTGCCAGTAGTAGCCAATTCAATTCCATGTCTACAAAACCAACAATTCCATCAAAAATCCTTTTTGGTCGTGGCACTTCTTTTCAAAGAACCAATGCCAATAAAACATAACAAGCACAAGATGTGCATGAAACAAAAGATTATTCCAGAGTCGTTTTTGAGGAGGATATCATTCTACCTAAAATACCCTTCGATTATCCAATAGGACAAAGAAAAGAAGCAGAACCCCTTCTCACAAAGTCTAATGAATCCCAAGAGTCCAGAGCTCCTCTGACAAGCTACCAATCAGAGAATTAAAGCAACATTTTATCCAAAAGTTTTGAGTGGAAAAGAAAAATATAAAGCCCCCAGACAACTGCTCCTGATACTCATAACCTGGTTCACATGGTTTTGGCTTCTGTATCCATAATCACAACCGATCTACTCTTTTGACCAATTCATGCAAATTAAAACTTATTAGCTCCAATACTGATCAACCGGTACACTTTTAGAACAAGGTCTTCATTCAACCCAATATAAGACTTGATTGGTGCCGCTCATCAGCCACATATAAGTACAAGTGAAAAAGAAGCTTAAGCAACAAGCAGGATGTAGGCTGCTTACCAGAGTAACTTCTGGGAAGTTAGTCCCTATAACTATACCAATTGTACAGGATGACCAAAATGTAAAAGAAAAGGTGTCCAAGAACCGAGCAGAAAAAGAAACCCTACTTACTCAATGGCAGGGGACTATCTTGCAATAGCCATTATGCATGTGCTTTCTACTTCCAGCATTATCCCGTCTCACTCCCTAGCAATGCTTCAGTAGCGTGCACGTATCAGAAGTATCATATTCACTTATGCAATCAGTGATCAAAAGTTAGTCCGGTCTTTAAGAAATGGTTGAGGAGCCAGCTGTGGCTTTTTGAGAAGCCCATCTATGAAAGTACTTGAACTAATTTAATCCCATTATTTGGGAGTGCAGTGCTAGATGGACCAGGCATAAACCTAAACTTTAACACTCTGCACAAAGTTATTGTCCTTAGATTCGGACCTACAAACTCACAGTTGTAAAACCAAATTTTACAGCTGAACCACTCATCCATGCCTTTAATAAATGTAAAACCAATAAAGTTCCCCCCCCCCCCAAAAAAAAAAAAAACAAAAGATATATCGAAACAAAAATAAAGTTCCCCCACGTGTGTGACCAACAAATGGTAGAGCATTAGGTTACTGGCAAGTTGCTAATCAGCAGCCACTTCACCAAATAAGTATCAAAAAGCATTACATGGCAAGTGCCCACTCATTGATCTATCGAAACACATGGCCTGAGGCCCTGAAACTTCACAAATGAACCTAACTCCAAAAAATAGAATGTTATCAGCAAGTAGAATGCACAAATGTTCCAAAATGTGCATACATCTTAAACTTGTGGTTAACAGCAAATACTTCTAGAAAACAAAAGATATAACATCAAAGAATCATCTCCCAAAACCATGGATCCAAAAATTGTATATCCTATTACATGAATAATATGATTTCCCAACATGCTGGTCAAGAAATACACAGGACTGAGGAAAGATATCTTGTTAGTTGTTTGAAATACAATTGAAAAGGGTCATGCACAGCTACGCAATATTAACTTTGCAAAGGTAAAATTGTTCCCTTTAAAGTTTTAAACAGCAAACTAACTAATCAGTAAAATTGTTCCCTTCTTCTTTTTAAAAAATAGCTACTAAACCCTAACATACATTACTTCTTCTCTTCTTCAATAAATGCTCTATTTTTTGTTTTTCATCAAAAAATTATTTTTCAATCGAACATGGGAAGTGAGTTCCTAAGTTCACATGTTCGAATCCGTATGAGTTTTTTCTATTTTAGTTTAACTTCCTTGGTAGGAAGATAATAGCTATTTGTTGGTTAAAAATCATGCATCTTTCATCATAACTATTTTGAGGGTACGATTTATTATACATGATATATGTAACTCCATGATTTATTAACTCCTACGATTGGGAATGAGAAACGTACTCCTACCACTCCACCCATAGCCCAAAAAGCGTGGGGGAGCACTAGAGAGGTAGTGACCGAATGATCCAATCAATCTATCTTGTTATATCTTTACTCTGATTTTGTTGACTCTCTCTTAAGTGAGTGAAGTGACCCATCACAATGGGGCACTCACTCTAACAAAGGAGAAGTTTCATCCCACCATTCCTGACGTTAGGAGAGGTACAAACTCAATTATAACTTTATAAAGAGTTATAAAGGTTAGCATCTTTCTATTTAGATGACGTAATCATGTCAATACCGTCAATTAATTATTTTTAAAATACAATAATGTATCATATTTAATATCTTACCTATTTTAAATATGTACATGTTATTTTTTATCATTGTTTGAATTTTGTGTCGACTCTTACGATTCCCGGTTCTTAAATCTATAATTTTGATTCCTGATACAAATCTGAATTTGAAAACTATGGATACAATCATATTATATAATATTTAAACCTCAGATTTCAATTACTCTCTCAAAAAACTGCAAAAAATTTCAAAATCTTTTGTACAAATAACAAGCTTAACAACACCCACCTTTTTAACTAGTTACTTGCACTCTTCTTGTTCACAAAAGAACAAGAGTAAGTAGTTATCATGCCGGATATAAAAAAAAACACTTACCATGCCTGAGTAATTAAGTCAATTATCAGAAATTACTATCCTGAAATCTTATGAAATGACAGAGATATAGTGTCAAAAACTAAAGAACTCATCACCTATAAAGTGTGTAAACAATGAAGACAAGAAAGATGATGGGATGCAATCATGCAATCGCCCTTAGAAGTAAATAAACTCGTTTTTTTTAAAAAAACAAGAAACAACCCATGAACTTAAGGGCTATAAATGCAAAGAAAACGAGAGGAATGTGGACTTTAAAGAGGACTTCCTAAGGGTCTTTCTTTTTCTTGGTTTTACGTTTATTTCTTTTTTGGGTTGCAAGCATGGAAGGTAAAGACATTTTTGAAGTTAAAACACCCATCATGGATATGAAATGATCTTCAAGGTTGGGACAATTGTCTTAAGAGAAGACACTCCACATTCACTGCACCCACACTATTCTCTCCAATAGACAAATAAACACTAATCCCTACCAACATAAAATTGACATAAAACACTATTACCAGTTATCTCTGGCACTAACATAAAATTGAAAAAAAAAACCAATGGGCTAATGGATTTCACTCTTTTCCCATAATAGCAACCATGGTCGACCATATCAATTGGTAAACGGATATGATAATGCAAGTAACATTCAAAATTGATTTCCACAAAAGGGTCCAGAATCACAGTTGGCCAACAACTGTATCAAATTAGATTTATATATTAAAAGAAGCAGCATGTGTAGCATAATTCGAATTTAATACACCAAACACCATCTTATTGCTGTAAGCCAAAATCCACTTTTAGTGTAGCAAACAAACTCTACAAAATGCATAACAGCCATGGCTAATGACCTTTAATAATTCAACACAACTATAAAAGAGAAAAAAATATATTAATACTGCAAGGTAGTATACCAATTTAGAATCAGCAGAACAGAACGGCCATAGAAAAATATCAAATAATGAAAAATAATGGATCCTGAAGATATCACATGCAGACATCATAAACTCTAGAAACAATACTACCCAAAAATTTCATCAATTTTCAGTTCTTGTATCATCTTGGTGTCGACTATAGTGGAAATGGGAGAGATGAAGCCACTGGCAGAGCCAGTAATGGAACCAGGGGGGGCCCACCCTGAACTTCTTTTAAAAAATTATTACGTATATATTTCTATAATTTTTTGGTATATTTCATGGTGGGATCCTATATATTTTGTGTCCAATCTATCAATTGCTTGTCCTATCAAGTAGTATATGTCTATACTTAATTAACTATCAATTTTTGGACACAATTTATACTTTACGAACACGCCTATACAAATTTTTGACATGTTAAATTTATTTTTTTAAGTTATGAAAATTGTGAGAATTAAGTTACATAATCAAAAGAGTGAGTTAATTATTTATATAGAAAAAGATATTCCCCATAATATAGATAATAAAGTTATCATACAATGTCCTTAAAGTATAAAATCTCATCGAAATCAATTGTGAATTATTACAATTAGCCTCGTTTCATTTTTTTTTTTTGTATACGCTATATATATATATATATATCAATGTTTAACCATTTTGTATCTAATAAATGTTTGAGTATCAAATATAATATAATAAATTTAAATGTGTTAGGTTACTTTTATCAAGTGAAAGAAAAATTTAAGTTTATAGTTAAAGTGCACCCTCCGAACAAAATTTCTAGCTCCACGATTTGGCACTGCCTTATATAGAGAATCAAACATGTACAGAACAAAAACATTATAAGTCCCTAATTATCACAAGTAAATCTAGTTTTTACCTCCTGCTGATAATGCCCAACTGAGCCTTCCACTTGGACCGGCACCACAGACTCGTGCACCTGGAAAGACCCATAATTTCCAGAAGCAGCCGCCGCCACTTCAACTGGAGCCTTCATCTCCGGTGTCGTTGTGAAGTAGTCCGAAGCCATAATCTTGTTCAGCTTCTCCCTCAACTGAGCATCTACAAAATACACAATCAATTAACAAAGCAATCCAATAATTTACAAGAAATGACATATGTGATAAACTGTTCATACAAGTAACAGCTGAATTTGCCCCAATGGGTTGATCAGATTTTGAAAGCCAAAGCTTTGCATGCTCAATGCACCTCTGCAAAGCATTCTTGTGAGACAAACTCGAATCCACTGGCCGGGAAATCAAGAACCCACCGAGCATCGAAATTAAATCCAAATCCCTCTCACCAAGCAGGTCATTCGCATCATCATCAGTCACATAATCATAGGTCAAACAACACCCTCTTTCGTGAATTTTCGTCAGCATCGTCGCTGTGAAATCGTTCTGAGACTTCACATCAAACATACTCCCAAAGTAAAGCAACTTCAACAGATCATCAACCACCAAGTCATATTGACTTTCGAGGTCATTGTTTGTGTTATTTTCTTCAGGATCTTTGGTTTCGGTGGGTTGGGCGGTGGAGACTTGGTGGCGTTGGATGGCAAGATTGACTTCCTCTACGACCACGGATGAGAGGGGTTGACGGAGCTTCTCAAGCTCATCGATGGCAGCTATTATGGAGGGTTTGGTCTTGAGAGTTTCTTCTTGCTCGTTGTTGATGGGTTTACCCTGGGCAATAGACTCTTCCATCTGGACGATGCGGTTGTATTTCTTTCGGAGGCCACGGATACGCTTGTTGATGAAAGATAGGACTGGTCCGTCGGTGACATCAGAGGCCGCGGTGGCCGCCATTGTGGTCGATAGAGTTGGTGTTTTCTTGCAAGAGAGTGCGGATATCGCCGCCGTGCACGGCGGTGTAGGTTGTGGAGAGCGGGACTGAAGCTTTTGGGCGCGCTTGGGGGAAAGGAGAGACAGGGGAGGGGATGGGAGGAGGAGAAGGAAGGATGGCGGTGGGTTTAATGGAGAGTACTGAGGGTAAAGAGAAGAATGGATTGATCTGGTATTGTTGGGTTTATTACAATTTGTAGCCAAAAAATTAGGGTAAATCATACTTTGCACCACAAAAGATCAACAATATTCTCAATTTATCCTCTAAAAAAGTTAAATTTTTTATATTTGACTTTCAATTAAACAAAAAGGTAGTAATGTGTTATATTTTATAAAAAATTGAGTAACGTTTTTTTTTATTAAAAACACTTAAAATTGCATATTATTTAAATAATTATGTATACAAATAAGATAATATGGCAAGTATAACAAAAAAAAAATTAAAAAGCAACAAATATTTATTTTGGAACTACGTCACTACCTTTTTTATGTGTGATATGAGAATTTTAATATTTTCAAGATGTAATAACATACAAAGTGGCATTTTTCCATAAAATTAAATATTCATTGGAATTTGGCTTGTCCATGCACTGATTTTGTTTTTTTCCAATTCAATTCAATTATTTAGATATAAAGTAATGTTTTTATAGATTATTCAAATACAAATTTAAATTATTTAGAAATCGGTTCATATTTCGATCAATTGTCTTTGCTCAAGTGTGAACCGTAGACAACCCTTTAGTAGTTTAATTTCTTCTTATTGTACTTTTGAGCTAACTCAACCTGAATGGAAAGAAAAAGGTAAGTTAAACTTCGCATCGAAGGAAGGAGTAGAAATTGTAGAGCTTCCTCTTCTAAAGAAAACAAACAAAACTTTAGTGGTTCAAGCAATCCATAAAGTCAATAAATGTTACATGCCCCATTTGAGGGCGCAACGTAGACTAATTTCATTTCACTTTCATATATTTAAATAGTTCTTATATGTGTGTAGTCTTTTTACACTATGTTGGGATGTTTATATCCATTAGTTGCATTCTTTCTCCCTTAATAGTTAATATGGATATGTCAATATCTAATTACACTATCCGAATTATATATACTCATACATTAAGTACATTAGGGTGGTTATTTGATATAATTGAGTTAAAATTTAGATTTAATTTGTTAACTTAACTTTTGTGCAATAGTTAAATGCTATTCCCCCCCCCCCCCCCCCCCAACCTCTTCTTTCCCTCCCTCCTAGTGAAACTCCTCGAATGGACAAAATAAGATTGGGCCCATACAAACAATGGAATGTACTCTATCGAAAGTGGGTACCATTTGTTAATGTACGAGCTATGAGCAGAGCCACAGCTTCCACAGCATATCAGACACCAGAAGGTATATATGAAAGAACATCTAGAAGATTCAAGTTTCCCCCAAAATTAATCATTTATGTGGAAAGTTACAAATGGGGCTCTACTAGCCAAGTGAGACTTGTGGAGAAGGAAACTTGATAAAACACTCACTTGCCCAAATTTGTGGAGAGGAAGATGAGACCAGTGAACATCTTCTTCTCATTTATCCATGGGTTCAAAAAATGTGGGAACTTAGTCCTTTAAACATCAAATTTGACAGGTACGATGTAACTAGAATTGAAGACTAGTTCATCCCGGCCTACAAGCACAAATCTTTAGCCCGAAATATAATTTTAAAGTACTCCAAAAACTCAAATATAAATAAAGAAGGTGGTAAGACCCTTGCAAAGTTCCCTATTAACATAGATCTTGATTGGACTCGGTCAAGATCCAAACAACAAGAAACACTCCACCACTAGTCTAGTGTTACACCCTTGGTTTGTTGGCTTGGCATTGACATGTGGATGTCTCGCCTAAAGGTACTTATGCTTTATTCAAATTGGGTTGTACTTGGTAAAACAAACCCTTAGTTTAAAGTTAACTTCTAAAGAACTTCAACGTGTACTTAGTTAGGTTACAAAGTAGTTCCCCAAAGTGGTAAGTGCAACCTTTACTACAATTTGTATCCAAAAAATTAGGGTAAATCATAATTTGCAACACAAAAGATCTACAATATTCTCAATTAATCCTCTAAAAAAGTTAATTTTTTTATATTTGACTTTCAATTAAATAAAAAGGTAGTAATGTGTTCTATTTTATAAAAAAATGAGTAACATTTTTTTATTAAAAACACTTAAAATTTAGTATTACGTAAATAATTATGTATATAAATAGGATAATATCACAAATATAATAAAAAAAATTAAAAAGACAACAAATATTTATTTTAGAACTACGTGGTTACCTTTTTTAAGTGTGATATGAGAATTTTAATTTTTTCTAGATGTAATAGCATACAAAGTGTCATTTTTCCATAAAATTAAATATTCATTGGGATTTGGCTTGTCCACGCACTGATTTTTTTTGGAATTCAATTCTTTAGATATAAAGTAATGTTTTTATAGATTATTCAAATACAAATTTATGTGCCGAATAGCAAAAATCAGGTGTTCCGATCAATCGTCTTTGCCCACATGTGAACTGCAGATAAATTTCCGGTTGTTCTATTCTTTCTTATTATACTTGGGGGGCGTTTGGACGGTGGGTTAAAGGTGGCTATCCACTAGTAGGATAGGATAAAATAAGAGTGGGACCCAAAAAATTCTTGTTTGGAAAGTCATTTTTGAGGTTGGATACAAATTTCCGATCTAGACCCCGTTGCTACAGTACTTTGTAGGTTAAAATTAACCCACCCCTCCCGTGGGTTACAAACCCAACCTACAGGTTAACAAGAGATCAGACATATTTACCCCCTCATTTCTCGTTGCTTCACTCTCGTCCAAGCTTCTCTGATGTCGTCAACAAGGGATTGTTGCACAGAAGCGACGAAGAAGACACGGATTCAAGCATTTCTGAATATTTTTCTCTTCGTTTTAAAGGACGATTTTTTTTTTTAAATATTGTTCATCTGTTGAACCCCAATCCCAACCCATCTAATATTGTTTATCTGTTGAACCCCAAGCCCTAACCCATAGCTGAAAATGGTGTTGCTGGTATGAGTGAGAAATCCAAAAGATTTTCGATAAACAATAACAAAGAGATGGATTTGTTGGGTGATAAGAGAGTAACTGGATTTATTGATGTAAAAAAGGAAAAATATGAAGGGTTTTGGGAGTTGAGGGAATCAGCTCGAAAGGCTCGGCAGAAAATGGAGATTTGTGGAGAATGGTGGAATACCACCAAGCTCAACTCGAAAAGCTCGGCAAAAATATAAAGGGATTTAACGGTGGTGGTTGTGGGAGAGATGGAGCAGTGAATTCTGCTGGCAGTGGTGGTGGGTTTAATGGTGGTGGTGGGATGTATATGTGGAGATGCAGACCATCAGGTAGATGGAAGGTTCTGGTTTCTACGTTCGATATGTCTGATAAGAAAGGGGATCGGAGAATTACACTTAAATCCTTTAAAATTTGTTATTTAATTATTCAAACTACACATATATTCTCTCAAATTTATGCACATAACAGTTAGACCCCTTAAAATAAATATATTCATTATTAAATTACACTTAAACCCCTTTAAAGTTTGTAGTAGTTATATAATACTCAAACTTCTTAAATTTAAAATATTATATGTAGAGCAAAAATACTCCAATCAGAGATAAAATATCAATTATTATTTTGCAATTAAAATTCATAGTCTATTTTATTATTTATTGAAATAAAATTAAAAATAAAAAATTTAATTTTTTTCTTAAAAAATCAAAATTAATATATAATTATACTATCTATTGAAATAAAACTAAAAAAATTAAACAAGGGGTCTAAATCGTATATAATTTTTATATGTTTTAAAGTATATGTGAAAAATGTATAATTTTATTAGGATAATCTACCAATCCAAACTTAAGATAGAATTAGTTTGGATTGGAATAGATAAAGTCATGAGTAAAATGATAAATTATTACAAAATTTTTATAATCTATGGGGCTCACTGAATTACATATTTATTTCTCAAACAGAGGTGGGGATTGGATATATTGCAAGGTTAAGGTTTTAAAATGGATGAGTGGATTTGACTTGAATGAGTTATGATATAAAAAAACAAATCCTATCCTATCCAACCCCATTATCCAAACACACCCATATGGGTTAACGAAACTCTAATGAATATAAGAGGGTAAAACAAACTATACTCCACTTTGTACGTTTACCGAGCAAACCAGACACTTTTGAAAAGAGAACGAAATTTCTCACCAAGTGGGGGAGTAGGAATGAAGGAGAATCCTATTCTCAAAAATCGAACGAAACTTTAATGGTTCTTGGAACTCATATGGTCAATGCGACATGGCCCCTTTGAATATATAGTATGAACTACTTTTATTCCATTTTTATATTTCTATTATAGTTTTTATGCGTGTACAATCCTTTTGCATTATGTTAGAACGTTTATATTCGTTGATTACATTCTTCCTCTCTTAATAATTAATATGGATTTATCAATATCTAATCATTCAATTCAAATTATATATTCCAATATATTAAATACATAATGCAATTGAGTGATCATTTGATATAATTGAGTTAAAATTTGAATTTAATTTGTTAATTTAGCTTTTATGCCATATTCAAATTAGATCAAATTAAATTGGGTTTGAGATCTAATTTTTTAACTTTTTATAGATTTGGATATAAATTATTAAAATAAACTATATCGAATATTCACATCAAAATTTCAAAATCAACTTAGGATTTGAATCAAGAGAAATATGATCCATTAATAGACCTAATAGAAAGGGTGATTCAAACAATTCACAATTCCCAGCAGAGTCACATTCAAAAGGTCTAGCATCTTATTCAGCAATCTCCTGGGGGATGAAATCCAGAAATGATAAATGCTATTTTTTCTCGAGAAGTTGCTAAGAAAATCGTAGCAACACCCCTTAGTTAAACTCCTCAAATGGACAAAATAAGATGGGCCATACAAACAATGGAATTGATGAGACTTTTCTGAAATACCTTATGATGAAGACACGTGTCTTCGGTTTTACTAAAACACTGTTGCTAAGATCAAGTACCATCGGTGTACGAATGTCCTCGCCCCCGAGGTACCGTCATATAGGATCATGCATTCAGTATATTTTAC